GCACTTGGTGCGATGGAGCGTTTCCAGCACGCGTCGAAGATGCTCGAGATGATCCTCCAAGGTCTGCCTATAGACAAGAATGTCGTCCAAGTAGACCAGCACAAACCTGTTATGTACCCAATTGAAATTCAATCCATAACGAATCTACACGTTCCCATACACGCATGCAATTGCAGAGTAGGCTCGAAGGAGGCAATTCCACACAAAACTGGAAGGAGATATGCACAGCGGAAGCTCAAAATACACAGAGGACTGGAAAATGGATTTCAGTTCTGCAATCCCTTGTCCTCCTCCAATTAATCCAGAGTATTCATTCCAAGAATCCCAACCACGTTGTCAACACCGACGGACAACTTATTTACAGAGTTTCATCGAAGTATCCGGGAGTCTTCTTCTTCCTCCCTCTTCGCTCTAGCTATGGTGCCTGCAGGCACCCAACCTATCAAGCCTGCCAACCGCCACACACCCTTTTCAACCCAACACCCGTCTCTGCACCATTCAAGAAGCCCACTGCAGATGAAGTGTCCACTCAGCAGGGGAGCGCAGCTCCCGGGATGATGAAGAACAACAACTCGATGAAGATGATGGCTTGCCACTTCGAAGCAGGCATAGAGAAGCTGCTTCGATGGCAGCTGTCGAAACCCCAAGAGAACACAGGTCGCTGCTCCAGCTGCCGGAGGCGGCCGTGGACTTGAGTCAGCGCATCGTCGAGGCTATGGATGTCCTCCTTCTGTGTAATGCATGTTGTGAGGAGGTCTGTGAGATGGGAGAGGAGTAGAGCGATCTTATTTTCGCTATCCTCCATCTTGCCATTCTCGGCCTCGGCCCGCCATTCCGCTGCCATTGTCAGCAGATTCTACTCTCCGCTAAATATCTTCTCACGACGTTGAACTCGTTCTTCATCGGCAGCCTTTGCTGCTGCCTTGTCATGCTGGCGCTGTTGTTCAATTGCCAGCAGACGTGCCTGCTCGGCGTCCTCTGCCTTCTTCTTCGCTGTTGTTGCTGCGTCATCCGCCCGTCTCTTGGTTTTGGTACTCCAGGCCAGCATCCGGGCCTGATAGGCCTCGTCTGTTTCTCTGGACCTCTGGTCCATGACGGCTGTTTGTGAACGCAACAGCATAGACCAGGTCGGGGGGCTGCTGACGTGGTATTCCCTGCTGCTGACGTGACACTGCTGTCGGCTGACGTGACCTGCTGACGTGTCCTGCTGCATGGCCTGCTGATGTAGTCTGCTGACATGGCCTACTGACGTAGTCTGCTGACGTGGCCTGCTGACGGGGCGTGCTGACGTAGTCTGCTGACGTGGCAACTCACCAATGCTGCCGCAGGGGGTACCCAGAGATAGATAGAGAAGGTAAGGCCAGAGGGGGCAACAACATAGGTGGGGAGGGTGGATGGGAAGACTCGCCCAGATAAGGAGCCACTAATCAAAAAAGAAAAGTTTGAACTTTGCAAAAAAAA